TATATATATATATATATATATATATATATATATATATATATATATATATATATATATATATATATATATATATATATATATATATATATATATATATATATATATATATATATATATATATATATATATATATATTAGGTTATGACCTTTTGTCAATCTAAGTTCCTGTGTCATAAATCTATGGAAAATAATGGAAAAGATATTAATTAGTTTTAGTTCTGGATAAAGGTCACTCTCAAACCGAAACTTGATTTTACCATATAATCAACAATTTTACATATACTCAACAATTTTACCATATACTCAACAAGTATAAAATATCAAAATGTTTTAAAACCATTATTTTTCAATTTGCTAATGATGTAATTGAATAGTACTAATGTATTTTTAATGCATTTGACAGTTTATAGCAATAGTATAACATACAATCTTAAAAAAAAAAAAAAATTCTAGAAATTTCCAGAATATCTTACATTTACGATACTTATATACAATTTAAAAAAAATTTCGTGTTAGTGATTTTTTTTTTAAATAGAACTGCTTCTTCATTATATTTTAACAAAAGTTCATCGAATTATGATAAAGGAAATCAATCATTTTGCAAAGCGTTAAAAATCAAAACCATAATATTTATATATATATATATATATATATATATATATATATATATATTATAAATATTAATGTCAAAGAGGAAATAATTTTTTGTGTAACATGTTTCGTCCTTTTAGAACTTTATCAGACTAAAATGATGTTTTTGTTGCGTATTTATGTGATGGATTTTTATTTATTAATCCGTGATATTTTATTACTCAAACGTTACTTTTAGTCGAAGCCCATATTTGACTAGTGGATGTTTATCCCTGGTTTCCTGTTTAGGATTGGGTCTTTAGTTCCTTCTAAAGATTACTTCAACCCTTTAATCCTAACATCTACGTCTGAACTCTGAAATTTTATTTATTTATTTTTCTCTCCTCCCCCAGTAGGAATAGATACGTTCGCCAATTCCAGTTCACACTCCACCCCAGTCTTTTTTTTAACATGATTAGATTTTTATCCTTTGTTTTTCGTTTAGGGCATGGTTTCCGATTCCTTCTAAAGTCTTTTTTCCACATTGTATTTCTAACGTTTCCGAATAAATCAAGAGTTAGCTGTTATTTTTCCTGCATAGAACTTCAGTTCTTATCCTTTCTTACGCTAACACAACACAACACAGTAAACCTCTACCTTGCATGGCTCTTGGGCAGAGTGAATATCAGTAAAAAAGAAAAGAAAAACGACACCCCGTTTATTTTTTAAAAAGGTATATTTATCGGCCTGAATATTCGAGAAATTTCATTAAAGAAACATATGCGCTCCCCGAAAGGATTCGAACCTGCATCTGTGTCTGTTGAGAGTCCGTGAAAGATTTGCATTCATGAGGCGCTATTTAACTTTGCATTATCATCGACGCAATCCTTGGCCGGGACTCTCTAAAGCACGATGAATCTAACAACGGTTTCTCTTGTTGAGGGAGTGCAGTTTCGAATTCTACCAGAGACTACATATTTTTTCTATAATAAGATTTCTCGAATATTCAGTCCGGTAGAAGAAAATAAATATACGGTTTAATAAATAAACGGTGCCTTGACTCAAATGTGGATATCCATTAAAAATAACATTTCAGTGATAAAATGATGGAATTATATATATGTATGAAGAGGAGGAGGATATACAAATGCAAAAATTAAGTTATAATTATGCATAAACAGGAAATTTTGGGGGGCTGAAATTGAAAAATTTAATTTTTTTTTTTAGATGTGTCAGTCTAGCCAATTTCGTTTTTATCCAGTGCTTTCTGCATTCTGTTGAGGTTTCTTTCAGACTCGATGAATTAACTAAATATAATTATCAATTCCTCTTAATAATTTCTATCATGTGTATATCATTGCTTGAACCGGCTTCTAATGCTTTAGAGTGAGCGGCTTGGTGAAAGTAGTCGTGGCTCCAGGGGGCACAGTCCTATGGTTACAGAGAATCAGTAAGAGTTCCACCACGGAATATGTGAGTGAGCGGCGCTATATTGAGTCTGATTTGCAATGGAACAGTTGGTATGATGTTTGCTGGACAACCTGTCGAGGTTTCAATTCTCGGTAGTGGATGCGCACTACTGATGAGTCCCAAATACAGGACGAAACAGCCGTCCAGTGCTTTCTGCATTCTGTTGAGGCTTCTTTCAGACTCGATGAATTACGTAAATATAATTATCAAATCCTCCTAATAATTTTATATATATATATATATATATATATATATATATATATATATATATATATATATATATATATATATATATATATATATATGTATACATCAGATCCGCTGCACAGTAATAATCAGAATCTCAAATTCTGTGGAAAACTGCTAAGACATTTTACTCTACTAATTGGATGATACTAAGTCCATTTCACTTTAATAGATAAATACATATAACAAAAAAATTCGTTGAATTCTAACTTTCCAAAATTCAAAAAAATTCTCACTTGATCGATTTGAACAAGAACTCTAGCATCGCAACATTGCACGCTACAAAACATCAATAAATAGCATAATTTAAAAAAAAAAATTCGGTTTACAGAATCGTTGTTCTTAGTATTTTAGTAAGAAAATTGTGCCCTGAAGATGACAATTTGAAATTGTCGAAAGTGTTTGGCATGTGTCTTCCATCTGACAACAACTCGAATATAAGGATCTTATTATTTAAGGAACTGATGGTAAGTTATTGTCTCATTAAGTTCTGTTAGCGGAGTGATTTCGCTATTAATCATATTAACATTGCTATTTAATTCTTTGTATAAATGGTTTCTTTATCATATATATATATATATATATATATATATATATATAAATATATATATATAAATTGCTATGCTTAGGTAGAAAGTGCCAATTTCTTGCTGACAAGGTTTCGGCTTGCATTATTTCAATAAAGATCGGTTATCCTATTTTCAGAATACATACAAATTTAAATGCCGTTGTGATGCAGTATGTATGGCATAGACCAATCAAAGGTTTGAAACTCGCATTACGCAACACGTGCCTGCTTATTTACGATCGAGTAGTCAGAATCTGTTCACAACTCGTCCATTGGACAAACTTTATTAGACACTCCGGACTGTGCCGCCGAATATAATGATACATTTTTCTTTATTTTGCATAGAGCTCGCTCTGTTTAGCACCTTCTCGGGTATGTGTTCATCAAAACTCATCAGCCTAGCTTATGTAAACAAAATGCTTATTTTATTCGTTCCCTTGTGTTTGGTCAGGGGAATATAAGTAATTTTTTTCTATTTTATACTCTTTTGGGAATCTTATTATCTGCTTTTTAATTGTCAGTTTGTTTTCAATTAAAATGTATTTTAATCGTGTTTCAGTCTCCTCTCTTCATTCGCTATTTCTGAAGCTGTGTAAGTATTATTTTGTTCTATTCACCAACGTCAACCTTTTGATGGATTTTTGGCCGAAAGGCTTTTCTTCACAGGATAATGATGTCTTCTATATATATATAACCTCAATTTCCGTCCTTCATTTTTGTCACGTGGTTAATATTGATAAATGTTTTTTCGTACTGATTACATCGTTACCCTTTCGTTTGACACTTTGTTTTATTGAGCAACTTATCTACTCTATTTTATATATCTATGTAATTTATGCTGAAGACCAGCAAAGGTTTTTTTTTATCCTTTTGTTTGCTTGTGGCCATTTCCTGGTTTATGGGTAGTATTTAAACATAAAATGTCCAATGTGGACTGGGTGATTTCGGCTTTCATTGACCATAATCAAAGTATTTGGAGATTAATTAGGGCGTGCTTAAAGTTTAGCAATATGCTTTTTGGGAGTTATGAAATACTGTGTTGTCCCTCGTCATTGTGAGTCGCGTGGATTTTTCGGTTTAAGCATATCATATGCTCATGATTTAATTATTAATGTCTCTTTTTTTGATTTTTTTTTGTTTTTCGTTGAATGTTGCAGCTTCTATGGTTGAGTAGTATTTCATTATTGATAAGTATCTGATTTCCTGTTATGTTCTATTGTTATAACGGTTGGTAGTATGCGATTTAAGGGAGCTATTATCGGTTCTATTATATAGCAAGTTAATCGATGAGATAATGTAGTAATTGTGTACTCTATGTATCTATTATTTGAATTATTATTATTACTAGAGAGACATTCTCCAATTTGCTAAGCGTAGGCAACATCGGTTTATTGATATTTTTATTGTATTTTTGATGGTGATCATGTTAGACAATTTTTATTTAGCCTTAAGCGATTATCCGTGAAACTCTCAGTGTTCTGTTATGTGAAATATATATATATATATATATATATATATGTGTGTGTGTGTGTGTGTGTGTGTGTGTGTTAGGTGTTCGAGTGCATGTACATGTGTATTTGCATATGGGTATATGAGTGGGTGTCAAATCATATATGTATGTATACGTTTATACAGACATGTGTATTTATAGTATATATATATATATATATATATATATATATCTTATGCGTGTGTGTGTATGTGTGTGTGCATGTGTGGGTGTATTGATTGGATGTGTGCACACGTGTGTCTGATTGTTAGTGCGCTCATAGCAGCTACCCGAATCCACCCATTCTCCAAGAAACGCCTTTTGAAAAACCCGGTTTTGTCAGGTGTCTGCTCGTGCTTTCGCTGCCAACTCTGCCACCGCCCTTGTCTCCAGAACGGCTGCTTTATTTGGCGGGGTTTCACGTATCGGGGTCGGGGAGGGAAAACGCATATTACCAAATGTTTTTGCAGCCTAAAGCGCTCGTACGAACATGTCTGCAATGAATCAGTAAAGACAGAGAGACAAAATATGGAATGAAGGAAAAAGTCAGAAAGAAAAGGAAAATAAAGGTTTTGAGAGGCAGGGGTGGGGAAGGCGAGATCGTGTTGATGGCTAGAAGAGAAGAGAGTAGGAAAAGAAAAATGAAAGACAAAATGGTTAAAAGAAAAATGAAAGAAAGAAATGAAAAGTAACAAAAAAAAAGAAAGGAATTAAGTAAAGGAAGAAATGATATAAAAAGTGAGAAAGAAAAAGAGAAAAAGAAGAAGCAAGAAAGAAACTATAAGTGAAAGAATTATAAAATATATTCCTAGAAGATGTTACTGATTGTTAGAAAATACCGAGAAAAGGGATAAAAGAAAGAAAAGAAAAAGAAGGGAGGAAAAGAAAAAGACAAAACAAGTGAGGAAAGGAAAAATTTAAAAAAATGGTATTGGCAAGAGAAACGAAGACGTAAGACAAGAAAATAAGAAAGGAAAAGAAAAAGAAAAATAAAGAAAGAAAGAAAAGAGAAAAAATAAAAAAATAAATAAAAAAGAAAAATAAGCACGGAAAGGGAAAAGAAAAACAAGAAAGGAAAGGAAAAAGAAAAGAGAGGAAGGAAATGAAAAAGAAGAAACAAAGAAAGGAAAAAAAAGAAACAAAGAAAGAAAAAAAGAAAAAGAAAGGAAAAAAAGTAAAAAAAACAAGGAAGGAAAAGAAAAAGAAAAAAGAGGAAGAAAATGAAAAAGAAAAAACAAAGAAAAAAAGGAAAAAGAAAAACAAGGAAGGAAAGCAAAATATATTTATATGAGATATTTAGAGATTCTTGATAAAATCCAAAGAAGAATATGCAATGTTATTTGTCCTGACATGGCATACCAGCTTCAGTCACTTTCCCACCGCTATAACGTAGTTTGCCTGCACCTTTTCTATAAATACTTTCATGGTAATTGTTCGTATGAACTTTGTTCTATGTGACCTAGACTTTATAAATTTTAGAGCATTACTAGATTGGCGGTAAGGTCTCATCATTTTACAGTGGAAATTGCTATCAGTTTCTTCTATCACACTTCTCTCTTGTGGAACTCTCTTCCGGCTTCTCAGTCAAATTTGATCTTCAAAAATTCAAATACAATATCAACTGCTAACTTCTGTCTACTTAATTCATGTTCTTTTATTGTTCCTTTGCCTTAATTGTGCCTTTTCTCATACGCTAAGTAACCTCTTCATCTTACTAGCTTTATTGCCTTGCTTGGTGTGAAATGATTCGAATACGAAGATCACGCCATAAGGTTTTTCTCATCTGAGTCCATCCTATGAATCTACAAGTCTACCATTCATCCTTGCACTGAATACTGTTGCCATATATGTTCTAGTACCCCTGCTGTTCATCTCAAGGTTCTCGACAAAATGCAAAGACGGATATGCAATGTGATAGGTCCACACCTGGCATCATGGCTCCAGTCACTTTCTCACATACGTGATGTGGCTTCCCTCTGTCTTTTATATAAATATTTTCATGGCAACTGCTCTGAAGATCTATTTTCACTGGTACCCCAACTGCATGAATTTAAGCGTGCTACTAGGTTGGCATCTCGGTCCCACTGCCGAAACAGTTAAATGTAACAGCCTCCTCTACTCCAACAGCTTCTTCTCTTGCACTTCCCGGCAGTGGAACTCCCTTCCTTTTACTTGTTTCCCTGATAACTATAATCTTCAAAAATTTAAATGTAATGTCAATTAACATCTTGATCCCTGTCCTTCTCTTTATTCTTTCCTCAAACACCCCTCTTTACTCTTTCTTTCACTCTCTTTAACCCCTCTGCGTGCCCGTGGCGCCCCCGTCTTGCTTGGGATGAAATGCTTTAAAAAAAAATAAGATAAAAATAAGACAAAGTCCGAATGAGCGAATAAAGTAACTGAAAAATAAGAGAAAAAATAATATTAAAAAAGTACATTTACATATTGTCTTTTCCTCTTGATCCCAAATGAATTTTTAACAGGTCCTAGTTTACGCTGTTGGGATTCTACATTCAACGAAGTATAGAGAAAGGAAGTCCTGCGCACGCATCTTTTCTCCGAGGGAAAAAAAAACGACATCCAATTTTTCTTGTATACCTAAAAATTGCAGGTTTTTGATTGTCTTCCTTGTTTTTACAACTTTATTATTTTATTCCGAAAAAAGAAAAGAAACGTTAAACTAGAAATTCTATTTAAAACATGACACGACGACATAGGGAATGCGATCCACTGTACAATAATGAACTATAAAACCCTTTGATATTCAAACAGATCACCAAATTTAGGTCAAAAGACCGGATCTGCTTGTCATGAATAATAACAGAACGTGCCAGATGGTGGATTTATGGAAGATCACAGACGAGAAATGGAAAAATAGAGCGTAGATAGATAAGTACCTCGATTATCAGGGAGCGAAGAAGTTGTAAAACATGGAGGTGACAAAATTACCAGTTATCGGGGTTGGTGCAAAGGTCTCACCCACAATCTATGATATGCCTTCCACTCTAGTATATCTCAATTATCATAAGCTGGCAACACGTATTAGAGGATACCTGTCTACTAGGGAGGCTAGTCAATCCCTATTGCAGGCGCATTTGTGTTTATTCAACACCCGCATAGCCGACCTGTGGTTTGCACTGCAACGATGCTGAACAGACCTTAGTTACCGTTTCTGGAATGATCAACAACGATGACAGCTATCAAGGGTTCCGTCTGCTCAATTTCAGTCACAAGACTTGGGTCAACCCGTGGTATGATTTTCATGTAGAAGAGGAATCGACCCACCCAGTCCGATAACACCAGGAAGTCCTGACAAATAGGACATGATGAGATTCGAATCCGGATCTCATGATCAGAATACGACGTTCTAACCACTTGGCCACGTGTACATTATCATAATGTAGTATTCATAATACAAATTTGATTTTAACCAAACTATGAGCAGTAATGGATCATATGCAATATAGGTGAACAATTCAAGTAGAAAAATTGAAAAAAATATATATCTAAATAGAAATTAGAGATATGTCCTAATAGATCGTTTTAAATAAATCAACAATGTTTGGCAGCAATTTGTTAAAAAGTTGAATAATTTTAACACATTCAGCATTGTGGATAAAAGTTTTTGTTTAGATTGTTCGGACTTTTGTTCTCATCATTGTTGTCATATTCACGACATTTCGGTCGTTGTACACTCCGGCCTTCTTTGGGTGATTGGAATTTCGAAACGAACCCTTTATCTCATCGATCGGGGTAGATTGTTCTAGTTCCATGTGCCATGCTTCTTCCGAATCTCTCAGTTTCAATTATTGCCTTTTTTTTTCACCTGAAGAAGACTGGGGCGCACAAATTCTCTAAACGTCGTGAATATGACAACGAAGATTTGGAGAACAGTCTGAACAATGGAAATAGTGTAAATAGTTACAATACCTCATCTCAGAAATATAGACAAAAGTTTTTATACATTTTCTATAGTGTTTTATTCGAAATTTAGAATGAGTAAAACAAATTCACGGATTTGGAAGTAAAGTAAAAAAAAGCCCCAAGAATGACGTTAAAACCAATGAATTTTTTTAATCCTTTAATAGTCAGTTGTGCTTAGTTTAACGTATATAAATGTAAGCAAAAAAAAAAAAAAAAGCAAAAAAAAAAAGCAAATGTTGATAAGACAGCGAAGTTCGCAAAACACAGCCCGGGGCCCCCAATAAGACTTCCCTGCGCGGTCATTTTTGTGCTTCCGTCTTGTCTTTTTTTTTTTTTTTTTTTTTTTTTAATATTTACTTATATTACAAAATGAACATTTAATTAATGCCATTTTCCCTTGTCATGGTGTTATTATTCCAATCACTAAAATATATATATATATATATGTGTGTGTGTGTGTGTGTGTGTGTGTGTGTGTGTGTGTAACGCTATAGTCACTTTCTCAAAGACGCGCCGTCGCCTCTCTCTGTCTGTTTTACAAATACTTTCATGGCAATTGCTCCGAGGAGCTGCATTCGCTGGTTCCCAGACTTCATGAGTTCAAGCGCCCTACGAGGCTGGCATCCCGCTCTCACACTTTCACTGTCGAAACTACTAAATGTAGCCGTCTCTTCTACTACAATAGCTTCATGTCTCACGCCTCTCGCCTGTGGAACTTCCTTCCCTATTCCAATTTCCCTGAGAGCTATAATCTCCAGCTATTCAAATGTAATGTCAATCGACATCTCCAGTTGTCTTGATCTATCCACTATCCTTCTCCTCATCCTTTCTTCTATCACTCCTATCTGATCTTGCTCTAAATTTTCTGTAACCCCTTGTGTCCTAGTGGCTTCCCGCCTTGCTTGGGGTGAAACGCTTAAAAAAATAACATACAAATACATTTTGCAGTCCCTCCTTGTTTTTCTTTTCCCATTATGACATAGCTTCTTCTCTTTGTTTACGATGACTGAATTTATCATTATATCCGTTTATATATGTTTATTTTTGTCTCACAAAATTAAAATTTATCTGTATGCAAATATGGGATGGATAACATCAAGAAGTCATCTTCCAAACAAATTGAAAATGGTGAGATCCGAAACCGGATCTCATGGTCGGAAAGCAAACATTCTAACCACTCGGCCACTTGTCAATGCTGTTACTATTAATGGCAAGGACAATTAAAAAACAAAATAAAAAATATGAAGATTTGTAGAAAACTGAAGAAAAATAAATTTCACATATTGTTGTTTGTTTTGTAATAAAGAGGTTTTTACAAAAATATAATTTATCCATATGTAAATAATCTTGTCACTTTTGACACGGCCGGTGGCTGTTTATATAAAACATTAGCCACATTTGATATCGTATCAAGTATCATTTTCTGGATATAAAAATGTTTTATGACAAATGGCGTAAGGATTTTTTTTATCATTGCTCCTATTATGACTGAGATAAGAAAAATATTGCTAGAGTTATCTGCAATATTTTTAACGTCTTCTCAAGTGTATTTATTAATGGATGTTTTTTTTAATTTTTTTGATTGATTCTTTTTATAATAAAAACGACACAAAATTTGTTCTGCGGTGTTTGTGTGTTCGCTGAAGGTAGGCAACTACTACTGGTGATATTACTACTACTATTACTACTAATAGAAGGGACAATTTAAAAGAACAGCAACAACAAAATAAACATATGAAAACTTGTTGAAAACTGATACACTGCAGGCTATTTAAAAACAGAACATTTTTAAATTTTTAGAATTTTTTTTTAGATAATCTTTTAGTGTTAGAAGTCTTTCTAATTAATCCCTAGCGGGTGGCGGGGTGGGAAAGACCTGGATTCCTACCTTTCCCAGCGGTATTTGCACGTAAGTGAATATAACGAGCCCGGCTAGAATTGGAACACGACTCAGACTGACGAATCGGAGAGCCGAGTTCGAATTCCAGTCGAATCCATTACATTCACTTGTGTGCTAATACCATTAGGGAAAGGTATGAATCCTCTGCTTCTCCCGCACCAGCTATGGGTAAATAGCAAGACAGACCGGGTTCTATAGCCTTGGATGACAACTGGTCTACCACAGGAATAAATGGCAACCTACTGCGGGGAAAAAATCTGCCGCGTCAGTCATGTATCGAAAATTACATGATTGCACTGACTTAAAACTATGCTTTGACCAGGTTTATTTAAATTTGGTGATTGTCCGGGTATTTCAATGTGATGTAACCGTAAGCCTTTTATTAATGGATATTACTGTTATATATGTATATACGGATATTGTTCTTATATGTTATGTTGTTATTATTTGCGTCGATGGATAATGTAATGTAATGTCTATTTACGTATATTGCTATTATATTGGGTTGGCCGGAAAGTTCGATTAAAACACAAAACATAATTATGCCATTAAATATTTATTCAGTTAAATATGAACCATTTTGTTGCACAACTTGTCTCTATTTTTTCCTTAAAATTCATTCCATCTTCCCAGAATTTTGGTGGTTTCTCGGCAAAGAACTCATTAAAGTGTTTTTTTTTATATGTCACCCAAAGAATTAAAATTTTTACCATTAAAATTATTCTGGGACCTGAATAAATGAAAATCCGTAGAAGCAATGTCTGATAAATATGGGGTGACACATCTCAGCTAAGATGCAACCATTTTTGCATGGTCGCCAAATAAACGTACGGTCTGACACTATCCTGATGAAAAACAGCACCTTTCCTGTTCGCCAATTCTGGGCAATTTTCTTGAATTGCTGCCGTTAATTCTCCCAGCTGAGATCAGTACTTTTCCGAATCAATTGACTGGTTACTTGGCAGACGCTTATAGTACAAGATTCCTTTCCAATCCCACCAGATGCACAGAATGACTTTCTTAGGATGAAGACCTGTTTTGAGGTGGCTAAAGTTGGCTCATGTCGCTTACCCCAGGATCTTTTTCGCAGAACATTGTTATATGGTGCAAGGCCAGTTTAAATTGGGGAGCCCAAATGAGTGCACAGAGACTATGGCCAAAAATAAACCAGTCTCCGCCATTTTATAAATTTCAGTCGACAGCAATACTGGCAACTCGCTCAATGAATATCGAAGGTTTCCGTTCTTTTTTCTTCTTTTATTTGCCGTGTTCCTTCAGGACGTGGGTGATTCTCCACAAATTCCTTATTCTTTGTAGCTCTAAATAAATTTTGTCTTTTCGCTATGTCTTCCAAATCCATGTTCTTCCAACCATTTACACAAACTCGTTATGCCTTCTTTTGTCCCATTTGCCTTAAATATCCTTGTCAGTATCAAATTTTCCAAGCCCTATTTCCTCATTATGTCCGGGAAATTTCAACTGTCTTTTGTTTCCATTTTCATTAAAACTTCATCGCTGCGCGCATGTTCCGTTCATGGTATTCTCAGCATCCTTCAGTAGGGTAGAACAACATTTTTGTTGCTTCAGTTCGTTTCTTCATCAGTAAAAAGATAGTCCAACATTCAATGCCATATACGAAGACAGATATTGCATAATAGTTAAATACGCTTTCCTTTGTTTCTAGCGATACATATTTTTCCTGTTTTATTATACTTTGCTTAAGATTTGGAAAGCATCTTTCGCTACACTAATGCGCCATATCATAGATTGGTATATTCCAATTGATCCTCTAGCAATACATCTTTGAGTGAGACAATATTGGAAGCAGGGAATGGCATTCGAAAATAAGGTAAAAAGGGTTAGAAAATAGATTGTGATCAGAATGTTTTAGCCATTGCGAACGTTTCAACCGGTTTTTTCCGGCACTCATCACGCAGAAAATAAAGACAAAGAGAATAACAAACAAATCGCGTCCTACGCTGTACGTTAGTTCCATTAGATGCCGAAGAGTTCAATTCTGCTCTTCACCATAACATTTGACGAAGATGACAGGAGAATTGCCTGTCGAAATGGCATGCATTCCTGCACAAAGAATGAGTCGAAATGCCCGACTCAACAAAGGGTCGATATCTTTCCTCGTCAATCCACCTGATGGAAGCCTTGAAAATATCACCCACACCGCATCCTACGGTGTCATTTCTTGCATTTTTTTGGTCCATACATTTAGATCCTTACTTTTTACAGAATGAAAAGAGACAAGCAAAGAGTGCGTTCCACTGTGTGTGTGAGAGACGGGGAGAAAGGAGGAGAGAGAGAGAAGGAACAAAACAAAAATTATCAATATCAATCAGGAGAAATGAAACATTGAGAAATCTGAGGGACTGTTGTGTAGCAAGACGATCGAGTTTCTTTAAACTTAATTGTGGAATATGGATTCGTCCATCCGCTCTGAGTAGAACGCCTACTCCTAGGAACTGTCGTCTCAAAGTGGGTCGCAAGGCGTAGCGTTTGAGTCGTACGCATTGCCGCACTGAACTACGGTATTCGCTATCACTGTATTATTAATCCTTGCCTCTCATGTGATAAAACCCTTTTTTTTTTCTTCACTCAACCTTTTGTTCCTCGTATTCCTTATTATCCAGAACTACAGGAGCCAGAGTGGAGTAATGGATAGCGGCTCAGATTGAAGAATCGGAGAGCCGAGTTCGAAATCCAGTCGAATCCATTGCATTCACTTACGTGCTAATAGCCTTTGGAAAGGTATGAATCCTCTTTTTCCCCCTACCTGCTATGGGTAAATAGCAGGTCAGGGTTCTATAGCCTTGGATGGCAACTGGTCTACCGCAGAAAGAAATGGCAACCTACTCCGGGAAAAAAATCTACCTAAGCGTGTATCACGCATGGCACATAACTGACTTATCAACGTTCTACAGAATTTATAACAATGGCTCGTAGATTATGTCTTCTGAAATATAACCGTTTTCATGATTTCTACCGGAGAGTGTGACAGACGTTAAAGATGTGAATTGAAACAGAGAAAATCTACAAAGAATATGTTCTTCATCTTCATCTTTTAATCTTTTACGGAGAAAGCGCTCTATAGCGAATTACATCGCTTGAAATTTTCCATATGAATAAGATCTCATCTCGGAGACTTGGTTCATAACCACAATATTAACAGAAGCGGGAAGGTCTTTCTGGTGCAATAGAGTCTTTATTTCATTTCAAAATACTTTCCTTGGAATCTCACAATTATTCCAGCGTGCTTTCCACAATTATCTTTAGGAATCATTATCTAATTCTCCGTCGCCTCCTATACGTCTCGTACACAGGCCACAGAAGTCAGTAAACTCAATCAGTAATGTCATAATACCAACCGAGGTTCCTAGTTATATATGCCTAAAAAAAATTTCCTTAAAACAATTTGAAGCCACAGAAGTATGAAATATAACTAAAATGATATCACCCGTAATGATAAAAGACTTACGTAAAAAGCAGCAAAGAAAAATCTACGTCATACGATACAGTCAAAAGAATGTCGTATATTTTTTACTATTTCGATTTATTGCTCTTTCTTCAATTGAAAAGATAGCTTGTATTTTTTTATATACAGCAAGTTCTTCGGCTATAGCTAAAGTGCATTTGTAATGTACTGATAGCTTTCTTTAAATATTAGATTCTGAAATACACTAAAAATATTTTCATGAATATGCCTTGTTGACTAATATGATAGTGCGTTTTTATGATGTCAAAAACTACAATCTTAACCTGTTCAAGTCTATGGTTAACCGTTATCTTCCCCAGATATCTTCATAAACTTTGCCTCTTACGCTGTAACCCTCTGCCTCGAGTGGCTCTTGGGCCGTGTACAAAGCGAACATCATTGTAAAAAAAAACAAAAAAAAAAAGTTAACATTCGTAACGTTTCGGCCTTAATTCTCTTTGATTTGCCTTCTCTTTCAATTTATTATTTTTCATGGTTATTTTCCTTTTCATTCGTTCACGTTTTCCCTACATTGCCTTCGTTCAAGTTTCCCTATATATATATATATATATATATATATATATATATATATATATATATTTCATGTTTTCTTCCAATCTCCATGAATTCAGTTTTTTCTTCGCATTTTCTCCTTTTCTCTTCTGATTCATTTTTCTCTATCGCTTTCTTCTTTCTTTCAATTTCTTTCTCTTGTTTCTTACACCCTTTCTGTTTATAGTCTACGCCTATAGTTTCTTTATTTCCTTTTTTTCTCCATTCTCTTTTTACTTCATCTTTCTTTTTCTTTCGTTTTTTCTTCTCTCTCTGTACGTTTGTCTTTTGTCATTTTTGTTTACCTAGATTCTTTTTCCTTTTCTCATTTTGCTTTTATTTTAACTTTCTTTTTTCTTTCACTTTTATTTCTTCCGCTAAATTTCATTTGTCTATATTCGATCCTATTTTTTCCTATTTTTCCATACTTCGCTTTTCATTTTTGTTTCCCATTATTTTCTTTCCTTTTTGTGTTTTCCAAGTTCCGTTATTATCGTTCTTCCTTTTACTATATTTTTCTGTTTTGTTTTCTTATGATTGCTTCCTTAATGTCTTCGTTATTTTTTCACCACAATGTTTACCTTCCTTTTTTATTTTCATTTATTTTTACTCCAACTTTCTCCCTTGTTTTGTCACAGCAGTTTTCTTTCATTTTCATTGTACAATTCTATTGTTAACTACGTCCATCTTGTCAGCAGTTCTCGTAACGATCAGCCCAACTTTCAAACCTTCACACTATTTAATTTCATTTTGTGGACAAACCAAAATGATTGACACTTGTAAAGCTACACAGGCTTAGTCACAATCAGTCAATTTATTAGCTTCTCATTAGTTATTTGGTACAGTTATAAATGGATTGTGTTAGGAAGAATACCAAGCAGAAGCCGTATCTGGCTGTCTGTAAGTCACTTAGTTTACCAAAAGAATTCTCCGATGAATTGCCATTAGGAATTAGCACGAGCATTCTTTGCACAATCAGTAAAGAATGAACGTTTCCCAGGCCTTTGTTAGTCCCGTCTAAATGTTCTGCTGGAGGATAGAAGCGATTGGAAAAGGAAATGGACATTCTAATAATAGTAATCTTTTACACACACACACACACACATATATATATATATATATATATATATATATATATATATATATATATATATATATATATATATATATGTCATAAATTTCATTTTCACGAGTAAATCCATGACATTATATATATATGTATAATGACGTAAATTTCAGTTTCACCAGTAAATTTATGATATATATATATATATATATATATATATATATATATATATATATATATATTTTATATACGAGTAAATCTGACAAATCTTCATTCACAATGGGAAATACATAAAAAGTGATGAAAAGAAAAAGTAAAAGACTCAAAATGATCAGTTGTTCCATTACTGGTAATTTTTACCGTTCAATTGGAGCAGTTTAAGTTTAAAGTCAACCCACCCGAAAATCAATATTAGTAACAACATTTGGGTTCAACTGAGGCACATTCCCAAATTGGTGGGGGGTAAACAATTTGAATTGGGGGTGGCCCTGAAAAGGGAACTGTATAATAATAAATAATATTATTGGAATAATTTAAACTATTTATTTTTTATTAGTCTATTTATTTTTTTTTTTTTTATTTAGTTTTTAATGAAAGATATATATCCAAGAACAGATAGTAAACAGTAAAACGTTGCTGAGAGTTATAATGGACAGGAAGTAGTGGAGAGCCATTGTCGCCAACAATTTGGACTCAAAAAGAGCACTGAAGAATTATCTATTAAACAAAAAAATTATCAAAATTGGATGAAAACAGAGGAAATGCATAAACAGCATCCGATCACACACCCACACACATACATACACACACATACATACACGCATACATGCAGACACATACACGCATACAAATACACACATACATACACACACACACATTTTGAGAATTATAGATATAGATCTATAGTCACGTGTGCAACAAAAGAAATAAGATAAAGACAAGCAAAAGGAACGACAAGAAAACCAAGTTTTATAGTAAATGAGAAAGGTTTTATTTTAATTTTCATTGATTTGCTCAATCGCTGGAAAAGAAAAAAAAAACAACATAAAACAAAGTCTTACAGACAAGAAGTTACAAAATACTTCAAAAGAACATTCCGTCAAGCGTATAGTTTACGTGTCCCGTGAAACAGCGAACGGCAGTAAACGAACGACTCCGAAAAAAAATTAAATTCTAAACTCCCCAGCACTCGTCTGTCGTGCGCATGTGTAGTCCTACAAACATAACAGTTTTAGTTTGATGAAGTCCTGAAGAACGAAATGCGTCACAAGTAAACCTTCTTCCAATTTGAAATACAATTTCCACACACACACACACACACACACACACACACACACACACACACACATATATATATATATATATATATATATATATATATATATATATATATATATATATTTGGAAAAACTTAAATTTTATTAATATGCAAAATACTCCCACAATATATATATATATATATATATATATATATATATATTTTATATATATATATATATATATATATATATATATATATATATGCTTAGTATAGTAAATTTTGGAAAAACTTAAATTTTTTATTAATATGCAAAATACTCCCACAAAAATACTCCCACAGAAAACAATTTAATGACTAGAATAACAAATACTTATTTAATAAAAATAGAATATCTTTAAGTTTTTTTTTTATATACAAGAATCAAGTTTCCAGTTCACCCTGCGTTTGTAAAAATTATAAACAAACCACCAGGCCAAACACTTGAAATTTTATTCCAGAAAGGAATATTTACGCATGGCCAGTTTTATGGTGCATGCTCAAGAATAAGAAATCCTAAAAAAAAATTATCCTTCATTGTTAAAAAGAAAAAAGGAAAGAAATGAATTTTCTTAAAAAGTATTGTTTACCATGAAGTTTTATAAAATTGAAGAATCTGTCTATATTTCTTAAATGAGGTATTATGTACACTATTTACATTATTCGGACTATTGTCCGAATCTTTGTCGCCATATTTATTACAACGTTTCGGTCGTTATTCGCTCCGGCCTTCTTCAGGTGGTTGAAATGTCGAACTGAACCCTTTATTACGCTCACTGGAGTAGATGTTTTTTAATGTCAATTATCAGTTATCTCTTGTTAATTCATCTCTCCAAGTTCTCCACTGCCTTAACCGTTTATTGAACTCACACTCTTTGGGTCGTGTCACTAGATCTAACCAACGCTTTTATCCACTGTGCCACGTGTCCTTGAAGACATCTGATTATGAATTTCTGGGTATTATAAACCTAATGTTTTCAGTTACCATTTTTTACCAGTGCTCATATTACAATTTTTACTGCATTCCATTTTTTTTTTTTACCAGAGTTCATATTGCATTTTTTTTTTTTTATTATCGCTTTTCTCTGGAAATTCTTATTACTGGTTCCCATATTGTATTCATTTCTATGCTTGGTCGGCTCAGGAGATTTTTGCGGCCTAGCATATGTGCTGATTCCTTAAGTTTACGAAGTTTCCAATGGTGTTGTTTGTCTATGATCTCAACCTGATCCCACAGAGGGCGGTGATCTCCCTTTTCTCTCCATATGTGGTCAGCCACGCCTGATTTTTCCACTTTCCCTCGTGTTACAGATTTCTGGTGTTCTTGAAGCCTTACCTTAAGGGGAGGCCTGTCTCCCCTTTATATTTCTTTCCGCAGCTGCACGGACTCTTCTTTGGATTTTATCAAGAATTTTTAAATATATAGCAGAAGCATTAGATCAGATGCGACAGCAAAATTCAATGCATTTTCTAATATTCGACTTATAAATATAATTTATTACACTAATGTGCATGTGTGTGTGTGGTTAGCGTAATATTCATAATACTTATAAATATCCCAACGCCGTAACGTAGCTTCCCTTTGCCTTTTCTATAAATACCCCCATGGTAATTGTTCTGATGAGCTTTCCTCTATGGTTCCAAGATAGTATCAATTTAAGCGCAGTACTATGTTGGCGGCAAGGTCTCACACTTTTACAGTTAAAATCGCTAGATATAACAAAGTTCTATGCTAGCAACTTTTTACCACACTACTCGCTTGTGGAAGTCTTTTCCGGCTACTTGCTTCCCAGTCAAATAAATTCGTCTATTGTGTTTAATTTTAAGAAGAGACATTTACATACGCAAAATTGTTCGAACTCTGCGAACCTCTGATCGCGATTATTAATAAAATTTTGCGGCCGATCCATTCTTCAACCCCAGATAAGTTTATCCTGTGAGGAATTAAAGAGAAAAACTATCTTCTTCCTGTAAAAGAACGAAGACTCAAAATGATGATTAAATAGACTTTGGCCGGACTAGTTTATTTTTACCAACGCTAGATACGCCAATTGCTAAGGAAATAACTTATTTTCTCATTCCCCGTACGATTTGATATTTTCGTTATTCAGGCGTTAAATCGTTACTGTTTTGAAAGAATGTTTTTTTCAAAAATTAATAACAAAATACCGACAATATTTTTGTCAGCAATTATTAAATAATATTATTAACAAGCCTAACAAGCCCGGGACTTTGCATCGAACCTCATTTTCCAAATTATTCTGTGCTAAGTATACAACATTTGGAAACACATTCCCACATTATTTTTTTTAATTCTTGAAATGATGCATTTTCATATTGAAACTTTGTTTAATTATAGAATTACTAAACATGGAAAGATATTTTTCTAATATAAAACAGAATCTTGTGGATTTATTTTCTCCTAAATAGTTCTGTATAAAAGAATTAATTGTTTAAAGATTCTAGTTTGAAATACTTCAATTTCTGTCTATCCCTCTGGTTTAAATTCAGTTGATGAACACAGAGATAGAAAGACACTTAGATGCTGACCTTAGAATTCGTTTATGTGTTCTTTCGTTCTTTCTTTCTTTTTCTCTTTCTCTTATTTCCCCTCTTTTCTTTTGTTCTTTTCTTTCCTTATCTCTGTCTACCTCTTTCTTTTGCTTCAATCTCACCAATTCACTTGATTTCTGGCACTTTAGGAAATGGTTCTAAAATATAAATCTCTTTTCTCAAAGAGATTATGGATAGAAATCTTCTAATGGGAGGTCCAACTGGTTCCGCTCCAGTTTTAAACCTTATAATGTTTCTCTTTCGGGTGAAAATGTCCTCCCAAATCCATCTTTGCCCTGAAAGATTAAATGATACAAGATTTAAGAAGAAAATCAATGGCATTCCATCCGAAACCGTCATTCGAAGAAGCTTCTCTGGGATGGATTGTTGACAAAATATTGTCGGCAGTGGGGAAAAGAATCATGGGGTCCAAAGAACTTTCAAAAAGATTTATCAACTCACGCCATAGTGCTCCCTGTATGACGCCACCCCTTACTCTCTTGTCAGATACCATCTTTGTTGTAGCTGACATCTTCAACCTGCAGACAAGTCAGGTCAGAAGCCTACCCACCCAGATAGACAGAAACCGCTGTTGAATAAACAAAAGTAATCCCCAAACCTTTGCAACGCCACTATCTTCGACTTGACAAAAAGTCTCTTTCTAAAGCCTTGATTCTGTTTAAAATTTTATGCCTCGTCTTTTTTTCGTAGCCTGTCTTATCGTACAAAAAAAAAATAATAATCACTACATGTGACCGCAGCGTCGAAGGCTTGATATTCCAAAATTAATTCCTATTCTTTTCGATGTTAAAAGACGAACAAAAAAACAAATAGGAAACACAAAAGTTAGGTCTCCAGACAGGAGAAACTCTGATGTTTTATCTGGACAACAATAAGTTTCATTATGTCTCATTCGCAAAGACATAGACGAAATAAAACATTCTGTGCATACATTAATACATGCACACTTGTGTATATATTAACGCCATTTCTCTTTCGTAATGGTCAGATACTGGCGGAACTGACCTTTTCCCTGGGTCATGTCTGCATAGTGGCCACCTTGAATCATGCCACTAACTCAGGGGCAAGCTGGAAGGCGACTACGTCACTCGCTGGTCAGACAAATGTTCGGACGAGAGAAAGAAAGGTGCGGCAGGTGCCTTTTCTTTTGCCATCTTTTGTTTGTTAGTTTGTATGAGTTCTTGCAAATTTGATTATCGCCGAGCTGTGGACGAGGAGACAATGGTCAGGTGGAGCCAAGCCGATACCGCAAACGATGGTCATTGTAGAGTGCTTGGTAGCAGAAACGTAGTGACCGCTAGTCAGAATATTTGTTGAATTAATGTGAGCGAATGGTCGGCTTTTGTTTCCGGGAAAATGGCAATTGCTGGGGTTTGTGAGGGCCCAAAATAAATTGAATTATTTCTGAAAGAAAGCCAGAATTTGTGGCTTCAATTTTGGATGGATTGCTAGTTCTTCTTGCCGACGCAGTTTGTACTCATATTGACACCTAAGGCGCGGCCTGAACTATGAAAGTAAGAGAAGAGGTTACCAAGAAATAATTTCAATACTGCTTATATATATATATATATATATATATATATATATATATATATATATATATATATATATATATATATGTATGTATTTGGGAAGCAATCACTATTTTATACAGGTTTCATTAAAGACAACTCTAAATATAATGTTCTGAGTTTAACTGTTTTATTCAAATTTTCCTGTATTCGTAAAATGTTTTCTTTTCCAGATATATAATGTGTAAAAACTGTGCAAATGTTCTATATATCTTAAACGGTTTTCGGTCCAGCATCCTCCTATAGAAACATATATATGTAGCCTGAAGTCTCTTCTTGTGTGGAGATTGTCAACCTTTTGCTACCATGTAGGATGACCGCTATTTACATAATATTTCGGTACTCTTTGCCCTGTTTCTAACTTTTTAGGCCTTATGATGGCCGTTGATGATGAAGCACAACTCAAGACTTCAACGTTAAATAAAACAGTATTTAATTACAAACTGCAAATAAATACGTAATACAAACAAAAAAAGTAAAAATCAACTTATTAACAAATTCAGTGAATACCTTCTTTGTAGCGCGGCTCTGCTCAATGTCCAATAGTCACTCAATAATCAACCAACAATTTGAGGATCAGTATTCGTTTGCTAACCGTTCCTAACCTGGGAGTCAAATGTCTCCGATTTGAGAATCTCAACTCTCTTTCTAACCATTCCTGGCCTAAGAGTTAAATACCTCCTATTTAGTAGTCACTACACGTTCGCTAGCCGTTCCTGAACTGGGAGTCTAGTGCCTCCAATTTGAGAATCACTACTCTGTTGCTAAACATTCCTGGTCTAGGAGTCAAATGCCCTTGATTTACGAATCACAACTCATTCCTAGTATGGAAGTCAAATATCTCCAGAGTCTGTTGACAACCATTGAATGAATGGATCCATTAATAGTAGCTAGAAGCAAGACCAACTTCAGTTTTTGAAGTTTCAATTCGGGTTTCTCTTTGACTGATAAGATTTCCTTTAATCTTAGCTTTTCATACAAAAATCTGACGAGACAGTTAAGTTACTCAGGCTAAATTACGTGTTAATTATCGAGTCAGTGTATTTATGATGTTATCGTCATCAAACTTCACTATTTCTTGAATTGGACATCTTTATTTTTTTTTATCTGGTTGTCATACTGGTCACACATACCAAAAGATAATCTTCCCTAATCTCACACCCGCCGTTTGTAATGTCATTGGATTTTTCTCTTAGACTTAAAAGGTTTATATTTCAGCAGACTTGAAAAAAAAAACACCCGCTGAGTTCAGAATAGTTTACGATTAACAAGTCGATTTCTTTAATGTTGTAGAAATCACTTCACTCCTGCTATGAGATCGAGAGATATAATATCAACATTTTTTATAATCATTTCACCCCCAAGCAAGGCACAAAACAGAAGGGGGTTACTGAGCATGAAAGGATAAGAAAAAAAAAGAAACATTATTAAGGAGCGAAAACAATAAAAGAGGAATCAAGAAGGCATTAGATAACGATTGGCATTGCATTTAAATTCTTGAATATGAAAATTGACTCGATGCTCAAATACGCAACTTTCTCACGGCCTATAGAATAGTTATTCCTGTACGCTACGCATACCTGACTGTTGACAACGAAATTCTGGGGAAAAACATCAAGCGCGTATAATATACAAATATTTATTTTAGAATTTGTACCACCTAAATAAAACAATCGTTCCAATTTTTATACGGTGGGTATCTGTTATACTGTGGCGAACGAATTTTTTTTTTCACCCGAATGAATTCGAATCTTCGTCGCCACTTGTTATGGTCCGGTTCCTTGTACCACGGTGATAGTCCAAGGTAGAACCAATAAAGAAGAACTCGAACACAGGTATGGAATAACATAGATATATTACAAACAGGAATATATACAGAGAAGTAGAAGTGTTAGTATGAACAATCAGGTTTAGTAGAGAGAACAATGTAGTCTCGACCAGTATCACTATTCCAATGGCTTGCAGTAATTGTCTGAACGCGACTCTGTTTCGGGCTGCCTATGACTCGACTCTTGACTCGAACTACTGACTCGACTTGAACTACTGACTCCTCGTCTACTCCGGAGGCGCAGTATTTATTAAGTACATTATTATTATTATGGTTAAGATCCCATAACAGTATCAACGAAAAATAAGGTTATAAAGTTTGTTTTGAAATACAACATTTACACATTATTTTGTGTAAACGCGCAGATATGTACACATTAAAACGCAACAAGCTTGCGGAGAAAATAAGCCCGCACCAGGACAAATAAAATTATTAACTATATCCGGTGCCTAGTAACTATTTCTCTATAGCGGCATAAAACAGACATTACTGCTATTTCCATTTTTAGGAAGAGAAACAACATGGCTCTGTGAACGATGACGACAACGAAGAGGACAATGGAATCTACAACGGTGACGACAGTGACATTATAAGAGTTTCATGCCTGTTTAACTGATAAATTAATTGATGAGATATTCGATGGATTGTCGCAGTGTTTTTCGGGTAGCTCTTTCGAAGAAGTATGCAGCGTCTGGACCCAAGAATTACTTTCTATCCCACATGACGCATCAAAACAGAAAAGCTAAGATTAAATAAAATGCGAGGCCAGTTTTACTAATTTGAAGATTTCTTTGGATCAGCACCGCTTCGCCTGTCTACTATCTGCTTCACAACCGAGTAGTGGCGCCTGGCTGAACGCAGTGCCCTCTTCATCTACCGGTACCCTTCTAGATGATGAGTGCAAACGGGTCGGAGTCGGGATCCATCTTGGACTCAAATTATTTGAGCGTCATAGATGCAGATGTGGAGCTTCCATTGATGAGTTTAGTTTGCATCCTCTCTCCTGTCAGACATGCAGCAATAAACGACATCATCAGAAGAGGTTTGGATGCAGCTGGGTTCCCTTCCCAAATCGAACCCGTAGGCCTCGACCGTGGTGATAGAAAGCGGCCGGATGGGATTACCATTTTCCCTTTTAAAGTGGGGAAATCGTTGATTCGGGATGCGACCTGTGCCGATACATTTTCGTCCGGTAATTTGGTCAGGTCCGCAGTCGAGCCGGGGTCTGCCGCTCGGGATGCGGAGATTAAAAAAATAGTTTAATATTCTTCTCTTGCAGATTTATTTTAACTCCAGTGGCAGTGGAGACTTCAGGGGTTATTGGCCCTCGTTTGATGGCGTCCTTCAGAGAGTTGGCGGGATTGCGTCTCGACTAAGGGACGAGCCTCGCGAAACGGAGTGGCACTTACAGCGTGTCTCACTGGCGATGGTGCGAGGTAATACTTTCTCAATCATTGCGGTTGGCAGAGGATAGCAAAGAAGTTATAGATACTTTATTCAAATAAATTTATTATTTTTTGTTTAAAAAACGTGAAACTATCATGACGTCTTGCTTGAGAAGGGATTTTCACTGGCCAGTAAGGGAATTGTTAGCGGTAGAAAAGGCTTTTTTGCCTTGCAGGGGATGGTTCCATTTCAAAACTAGGAACAGAAAAGAGTAATCAGGAGGACAATAGACAGTTGATATTTCATTTAAATTTTTGCAAACATTTAAATGAAAGCACGGAGCCGAAAGCCAGTTCCACAGGCGAGAAGTGCGAACTGTTAGCATTGAACTTACATCTACATCTGGCCAGCTCTATGTAAGTCTAGTACTGCACTTAAATTCAAAACGTCTAGGTACCAGACCGAAGAGCTCATCCGAATTACCATGAAAGGATTTATAGAAAAGACACAGAGAGGCAATCTTACGGCAGTGAGAAAGTGACTGAAGCCATATCAGGACCAATAATATTGCTGATTCTTCTTTGGAAGAGGCACCATATGAGGCATCAAAATTCTAAGCATGGACGAATGGTCGACATAGATATCTAAGATTCTGGATTAGGTATATAATGTAAATTTATTGATATTTTACTATAGAATTGCATTCAAAATCAACGACAAAAGGATTGCCAGTGGTAGGAGTTAAGTAAAAAAAAATAAAAGACTACTAAATGGATAAAATATATAAAAAATTTTTAATCCATACTGTTCGCCAAAAACAAAAAACATTGGAACAAAAATGACGAGACAAGTGTCAGCTGTTTTGATTAACGGTTTTCTTTTTTAAACTGAAACAAGTCTTTGCAATTTTCAAAATGTTCTTCTTTGATTACCTTTGGGATGGCTGTAGAGTCATTACGGTGCCAGCGTGTCTACTGAAGGGAACAAGAATTTGCTGAAAACCTAACGACATTTATATTTACCATTTCACGGCGAGGCAAAGTCTTTTTGAAGGGCTCTGACCCTTAAAATAACTCACCGAATGTATGTCCCCTTTGAGTTAATAGAAAGTTCAAAACAGAACCAATGTCAGTGTACCTATCGTGAGAATATCTCCTGGACTCTTCCTGACAGTTTAACATTATATCAATTTTGGTAACTAAAAATTATAAATTATACACGCAAAAACCTATTCTCTCGGTATATAGATTTATTTCCTGACCACTAACAATCTCGTTTCTTTTCGACTTTCAACACATTCAATATAATAAATTAATTAGCAATGGATTTTCATTATAATAGTTCTACTCGGCCTGTGTGACTATAGCTATCTAATTTTCAATGCATTTCACACATAAGATTATACGCTCAATAATATACATCGATTCCTGACCAATGAG